ATATGTGAATGATAATTTAAGTTTGAATCTTCAGCTAGGCTTTGATGGGTTTAGTTCTATGGCCGAATGATGACTAACTTCAGACACAAGAACCTCTTTCACACTACAAAATACTTGTACCATAGACTACGCTGAGCAACCCACATTTATTGTGAATTTACTTTAGTGTGAATTTAATGTGATTGATAATTTAAGTTTAAATCTTCAGCTAGGCTTTGATGGGTTTAGTTCCATGGCTGAGTGGGACTGACTTCAGAAGCAAGAACCTCTTTCACACTACAATGTTGTACTGCTCTGTGCAACCTGACCCACAGCTAGTCAATGAGGGCCACTGGCTCCAAGCAAAACTATGTCATAGTCAGAGTTTTACATGGAGAGTGTTACATCCTAGAAATCCTCCATTTTTTAGCCTTCTTATTTATCTTACAAAGCTCCTGTTCAATTTTATATTGTATGACAAGTGAGCAAAGAAAACAAAACAAGGGTGATGTGGCAATTGGCTCCAAAACCTCTGAAAAGGACCAATATCAAATGGGGAGAATTAAATTAAATTACTGGATTCAACAGCCAAATCTATTCTTCTTTTGAAATTGCCCTAATTTTTTTTTTTGACAAACTACTCCATGCCCCCCCTTCTCCTTATATATATATAGAATGAAATACTACAAGTGAGGCTATTAACCATATAAACATACACTGCCTCACTAATGACCACTGGACATTCAAACTCGTTGTATAGATTATTAAATTGTTTTCCGAGAAAATGGGAAAGGAAACTACAATCCTGAGACTAGTAATAATACCAAGTCATTAAATCACCTTACTTCCTGACAAATGTCCTTCTCAAAACATGATGTAATGACAATGCATAAAAGGAAAAAGTACTTCATTAATTCGTTTTGATAAAGATTTGGATAAGCATAAGGAACTAAGACATTTTTGCTACGATTTCTTAATGTTATTCTTACCCTTTCCCACTTGTAATTCATACGAGGAAACATATTCATAACACCTTTAATCAATATGAACTTAGATACAAATCTTCTGTGTTTAGGAAATACTTTAATGTACAGGAAGATTCTAATTGCCTAATCTGGAGATTTATATTTCCAATCTTCTTGTGAAATACACATCAAATTTCTTTTCAAATTGGCAATCAACCAGATCAATACATCACCAAAACTGATTTTAAATCAATTATATTTTTATGAGGCTGCCGCCAAAAGAGTTTAATATCTTTATGAATCTTTCACCTCTCTGCTGGGAAAACTGTTACAAGTTGTTAGAAAAGAAGAAAAAATGATTGCAATTAACAAGTAAAATTATGACACAGGATTAGACTTTCCTGGAGGAAAAGAAGAAATCAGATAAGGGTTGATGGTTATCTTTAATCTCGATTCGAAAAGGAAGGTAAAAATGTCATGGAAGTAAATTGAGCAGAAAAAGAACAAACCGGTGCCTTCCTCTTGCTGGTGAGTTGAGGTCTGTCCTTGGATGTTTTCCTGATTACTAGACTATAAAGTGATCAAAGAGACAAACGTGGGACTCACAGTCTCCATCATACTTCCTCTTCAAAGACACTGTCCGCAGGGACAAACCATGTTGCTGCTTGCTTCAAGACCAAGTACCCAATCATATGCCAGACAAAATGTCCTGCGTAGCTTTCGTTCTTAAAATTTCTTTAAAAGCAAATATGTAATGCCCTCATAAAACCCTACTTTTTATCACCATACATTTCTGAAATGTTATTTTGTGAAAAGTGACAGGGAGAGGGCAAGAGACAAATGCATTAGGGGAAAAATAGTATACCATAAATGGAAAAAAGGGATAACGAAAAGGAAAACAAAGTATTTACATGGACTAAATATTAGGCAATATCATGAACATATTGTTACTGTTCAGCCTAACTGAAAAAGTTATTAAGTAATGTCTTTCAAGCATATCTTATAATTCATGTTCCTATCTCTTTGTCAATAATATCCCTTGGTTTAATTCAAGAACCATAACAATCGCTTTCAACGGATGGGTCATTTATTGAGTAGGGTCTCTGATATGTAACATACGATTCCCAAGTGGAGTGGATCTCCTGTTGGAATGCCATGGTTTAGCAGCATTCTGTCAAAATCTTGGCTGCTACTTATCAGTCAATGGGTTGTCAGCTGACAAGGCCTGACGCCTTGACATTTCACAGCCACGACAAACCAATATGGATGGGACTACATAGTCTATACTCTTATTATTAAAGGGGCACATCATGATTCATGCTAGACTCACAGTCTACCCTCTTTCTTTTAAAGCTGCACACCGCACCGTGAGCTCTATCACACTCGCAACAATGTGCACAACATAGATCAAGGAATGAGATCAAGTGACACTTTAATTAGATGTATGCAATCTTCTAATGAAGCAACAAAAACTTATGCACGTTGAATAAAGCTATCATCACATACCCAGTAAAATATTAATGAAATAAAGTCAAATCCTGGTATAAAGGTTTCCCAATTTAAAGTAGGGGTCAGTGAAGTCTAGTACGACCTGTAGTTTTGAAAATCAAATTCATACTTTGACATAACACAAAACTTTTGACAAGAAAATCTGAATCATCACTCCGACAGAGTACACTAGATTGTCAAATTTACCATACATCCCTGAAACCTTTTATGAAATATTCAAACTGTCAGTGACAACAGAATTATTGGGATATTACAGTGATCAATAAGCCTAAATAACTAGGAGAGTAAGGAATAGCAGAATTTCAATTACTTCTAATAATTTTGCTTTCATTTCTTTGAAGTATAAATCCTATCCAAACACTGAAAAATACAAGTAGCGTTGTCATATCATAGGTCAGGATTGATGAAATAAAAATTCTGATGAGATCTTTACGAACATATTTATGGTGAAGACCTGTAGTAGCTGCTGCGGGCATGCAAAATACCATCCCGCTTTCTTGATTTTGTTTACCCCCATGGAGGTAATGGAAGTGTCCAATTAAAGTCTCCCATATTTCTATTACATTATAACCAGGGAGTAAGATGTTAATGACCAAATAAAAAAAAAGGGTAGAAGGAAAGAGAGGATAAAGATGGGAGGGGGAAAAAAGGGCTGCCTGTAATAACTTTTCCACATGTTGCTGTTTTCCAATGAATGAAGAGCAAGTACAAAATAGTCTTTGAAAACAGGCCTTGAGACTTTCAGTGTTTAAATCAAAATAATCGCTACGATGGTATTTCATGATATATTTCCAACACAGCTGGATATCAATTCTTCTGGGGGTATCAAACTATTTCTTATAAATTTGCATTATTTTATAATTTTCGTTGAGTTGAGATTGATCCACAATATCATGAGATTATTCTTCCTTTTTTTCCTTGATAAGAAATCCAGTTTGCCAGGATAGACAAATATGTATGGGAGTGATATGAGAAAAGTACACATCGCATCCTCAAAGGGATTTCAGAATTATTACCATGTTTATTCTGGTGGCGCTAGCGCTCGTAAATCAGTAAATTGCCGGGCTGATGGAACTCTATTTTCTGAATATTTTTCTCAATTAGCCAATCGAGCAACTTATTATTTCTTGATGATCCTGTTTTTCTCCCCTTCTGGTTATTGATGATATTGTAACATGAAGGAAATAGGACAATGCCAAAAGCAGGGACTTCTTGTTTGGGCTACGGGTTCTGCCGAGACAAAACCCCAAAAGCAGGCCAATTATACGCTCATGTAAATTTCACATTTCATGGTATTCAATTAAACTAATCATCATAGCAGGCCAGTCATGATGACCTGCAATTCAATCAGTAATATGAGATGTTTTTCTTCCATATACTTTTCAAAAGTACCCTATAACAGTGTAGGTCCTATGTAGGGGCCTTATAATCGATCTCGAATATCCAGCGTGAATCATGGCAGTATGAGCGGGGTTTTGTGAGACCAATCTTTTGGAGATAGTCTGAATTAAAGTCTAACAAAAGACCACGGGGAAACGGTGAGAATCTTTATTTTTTTCCCTCAGCAATTAAATTTGTCCCCCTTCTCCCGTTAGCCTGGATGCCCCAAGCCCTAGAGACGACTACACCCCTAAACCTTACCAAGACACCCTGACTATGGTTATATTCCCCAAGGGAGTCCAGGCTGTTGGAAATGATGAGCTCAGAGTACGAACTTGGCGGACATGGAGGATGGTTATTCCATTAGAGTTTAAAGGTCACCTTCTAGATCCTGTACATTGTAAGACTTAACCCTCCTAATCCTGTACATGAATGTAGGGTAACATTTATCGAGTTAACTTTGAAATACAGTTTTTGGTAGAGGATGTGGGACAGTAAGAGAGAGAGAGAGAGAGAGAGAGAGAGAGAGAGAGAGAGAGAGGGAGAGAAGGGAAGAGACAGTCAACAGATAGACAGTGAAACAAGGAGGCGAGAAAAAAAAAAATAGTCAGACTGAGAAAAGTTTGGTATACGCCTCAATGTATAAAGATTTCAATAGCTTTCTGATGCATCAGTATTTACATAACCTGCCTAAGCTAACATACATTCCTCTCTGTATGATTATCCTACAATCCAAACTGGTTCAAGAAAATAAATATCATCCCAAATAGAGTGCATGCATTGTACATCACTATCCTCTCTCTCTCTTTTTCTCTTCATCACCATTGCTCAGGCACATAAGTGTTGGATTGTTTTGGCCACTAGATGGCAGCAGACAGATTTGACTTGTGACCAACATCCACTCAAGGGATTGTGTCTGTGTTTCTTGTACCGAGAGTTCCAGCTCTGGGTTTGACTTGAGGGTGCAGGATTGCCACCACTCTCACTCATCCAATTCAAGAATCTGTTATCATGGCTCCCAATAGCCTCATCCTCCTCCTTTTCCTCCTCCTCATCATAATCATCATCATCATAACTATCATCATAACTATCATCATAACTATCATCCATCACCAGGCTTCAAATAATCACCATCATCTCATCTCATCCAGCCACTATTGTACTTACAGATGCTAGGGCTTTGCCAAGTGCAGCTCCTGTATGTGAGCTGGAACCTGATGAGTTATTTGTGCCGTTCCCTCTACTACTCGCTGTAACATTAAAAGCAAAGAACACAAATAAATGATTATTATGAAACAATTCAAAATCAAGCAATTACAGGATATTCTAGAATATAATTATAGGGTAATTTTTCTGCAAGCACTAATATTAATTGTAATACTTTTAATCAGCATTCCACAAGCATCTCACAAGATGTGAGAGAACTAATTATCAAGCAGACACATGTGTATGTTAGACTGTCTACAAAGTTTCTCTTTCATCAACTAAACTTGATTTTTTGAGAAAAATATTCAATATCTTTTTTTTCCTGTTCATAACACTTAAATATGATTCTGTTTCATGTCTTACAATTGAATAACAAATCTTCCATTTATCAATCTATGAAAGGATGACAATTCAAAGAAGCAGAAGTTCTCACACAACCCTTTCAAGTAGCCTTAGACACATACATGATATCCAACACTTATAAGAAGTATAATCAATAGGCCTGCTTCATGAGACTGAAGCTGCAAAATAACCCGCTATTTTTAGACTAGGGATATTTTCCCGAAGCTCGGAATTGGGTCTTCACCAGACCTATACGCTCATCACAAACTAGATCGGACGGACGCAAATTAACCAGCTATTTCCCAAATAGTTAGCTATTATAGAAACAAGACCAAGGTTTCTTTGGATATTTTCTCAACCAAATAGCCCGCTAATTGCAACTGCGGGCTGATGAAGACGCAAATTAGCTGGCGAATTTGAGATCGGGCTAGTTAAAATAGCGGGTTAACTTGCAACTTCGGGCTGATGAGGCAGACCTACTGAGACAACAAGTGATTTCAAGTTCGGTGTTTAGGGCTGGTGTTAAGGCTTTGACCTCTGAATATCGTCTACTTCCGGTAGCTAGTGTTGTCGATTTTGCAAAATTGTCGTCTGCTGAACCGACCTTTGTGGCTGGTGTTAATACTTTACGTACAAATGTCCTATTCACTAACACTAGCTCCTAAGGATTAAGCAAATGTTGATTCCAGTTCGGTGTTGGTATTAAGCTATCGATATTGATATCGATATCAGGCTCTTGACTGCTCTAAACACTAACACTAACACTGACACCCAACTTGAAATCACTCAACGTTGGGTTTGTTTGGTGCTACTTACACATGACTGTTTCTGTGCCATTGAGGGGCGGTGATGAGGTGTATGGGGCAGTGTTTGTGGTACCTGGCCTGAAATTCGTCATGGGAGGAAGACTATGAGGGTCCTGACCTGCCGACATACCGCCGCTGCTACTCTGATACTGTAAAAACAAAATACATAATTCAAGATTATTTATTTACAATTATTAACATTAGCAAAATCATCCAAGTAAAAGTGCTTTCTGACATTAGCTACGGCAACAATTGCCATAGGCTTTGTTTTGTCAAATGTATAGGGTTAGGGATAGCATTGCAATTTGGTTTTATGTTAGAATACCGGTATCTATATATAATTATCACATTATTACCAATAGTAAAAACATCCAAATACCTGTTGCTCTGATATTAGCCACAGCAACTATTGCAATGGGCTTTATTTTGTCAAGAGTATAGGGTAAGGGATAGAATTGCAATCAGGTTATGTTTAGGTTTAGGGTTAAGGTTAGGTGTAGTGTCAGGATCTGGGTCTCTGTTAGGAATTCTGACAAGCATTTCATCTTAACCATACACAGGAGCGGTTGTCTTAGAACCCTATCTACCATGCTTATTTCATCTAAACCCTACGCTTCCTCTGTTTACCTTGATTTTCTACATTTTTTTTTAAAGGGATTATTTAATAAACAATCAAGAAGGTAGAGAGAAATACATCAAGGGAGAAATATAAATAGGTACAGACATAACCAAAGGAGAGGCAGGGAGTAAGAGAGGGAGAGAGAGACAGAATGAGATTGAGAGGAGAATCTATATTCCTTTGTTGAGTGTGCATAATCATAATCAAATTTTGTGTTTTGTGACTTATTCATTCATTATTCAGAACCAGTTATTATCAGTCAGTGACCTTTAACCCCCTCCCATTCTTTCTCCAGAGTACATTGTATACTTTAGTGTACTTTCTCATTCTTACTTCTAATGCTTCTGAGTGACACACAAAACTCTTCCTATCCACTTACATGATACAACAAAGTACATTCACAACACTGAAATCTTCTAAATTCCATGTGAAAACATCTCCAAGTGTCAATTTGAAGCTGGAATCTTGTTTACATATCTCGGCCCTTCTCTTACTCTGACCACCCATAGTTTTTTGTTCCAAATTTGGCTCACGACCAGTCAAGTCAATACGAGGTATTTTCAGAATTCGCATTGGTTGATGTTGTCTTATTGGTGGGGCATACGTCTACCTTCATTTCCATCCCTGTTTTATTCATTCTCATCCTATGTCGTCATACCTGGGGGTTGTTACCAAAAAAAAATGGAAACTTTCC